GCGAGAGCGAGAGCGAGCGAGCGAGCCTGCGGCGGGTTGAGGTTAATAGGTCGGCTGGTTTCTGTGCAGAAACCTGTGCCTGAGTCTTTGTCGCAAGTTTCTGACTCCGACCTTCTACCCTTTCCAGTGCGCGGTAACGAGCGGGAGGGGCTGACTTCGCAGCTGTGCTGAAGAAGCCCGCTTTCTTGGACGTAGCACAGGCCGGAGGACCTCGCCGACCGCGGCTCGCAGAGTTCTCACGCTTGACTAAAGCTGCAGTCTAAGGATCTGCTTTCACACATACAAGAATGAGGTGCCTCGACATAGATTATCACAGATGCGTGTGAGAGGGTGTTTCTTGCGAGCAAGCAGTAACTGATTGAATGGACAGCTGAGACGCGATGATAGCAGGATGAACGAATTGTCTTTGTCTTGTGTAGCTGTTCAGCGCTTGGCTTGGACTTGCATCCTGTGTGTATGTTCGTCGCAGTTACTCATTCCCCGGTTCCGGTTGACATCGGACACTCTGCGATACATGAAGACTACGTGCATTTGATCGTCGTTGTTGCGCCTGCTTGTGAGTGTCATCCAGGAACTGGCGAAGAAGCTGAACCATGTGTACAAAATCTCTTATCCTGCCACACCGCTGCAATCAACGCAGGTTTCATGGGCTGGACCAACTCTGCTGAGCTTCAGGTGGTGTTCTTGATTCTCTTCATATTGCTGCTCTGCTTCAGCTCGGGTGCCTTCAACGACCTTTGCGCATTCTTGGTCCCCTGGCACAAACTAGCTAAAGCAGCACTCAGCATGATTGTCATGCTCCGTCGCAGTCTTGTCGTACTAAGACGGTCAGGATTGTATCCGGAGACTTTTGCAAAACGAGCCCTCCTCAACCTGTCTCTGAACACCATTCGCATGTGGTCACAGGTTCGGACGATCGTCTGTCTTCTGCTTGCTGCTTGGACGAGAAGTGACTCGTAATGCTGAGCATGCAGTTGATGGCACGCTCCTCACGGAGAAGATGCTCAGTGGTGTGCTACATGCACATCGCAGTCTTGTCCATCAGATTCGTGGTTTTGCATGTCCAATGCACTGGCGTTGTGCTGCAGTGTGCTACATGTTCAAGAGCAGCGAGGTTTCAGTTGTGACTTGAATGAAAGCCTGAGGTTGCAAACTTCGTGTGGGTTCGCAGGCCAGGTTTCTGAGACTCTCCAACCGAAGTAGAATCGAAGTTTGCCGGCTCGTTGCCGACCCCGCACCTGTTGAGCTAGTCGTGGTGTGTGGGCGGACTTGAGTAATGCTCTGGTTGAATCTTGACACCGACGCGGAGTGCCATTGCAGGAGTTTGGCTCCCTCGGAATCAAAGCCGGAGGAGCCAGCTGACAAGCCTCAAGGAACGTGAAAACTGCCGGCCCAGTGAGTGGTTGCAGCACGAGACTGCTTACACAAGGCCCTCAGACATTTTCAGACTGTACAGCCGACGCCTGTGAGAGCTGGCTTCAGCGTCAAAAACAGACAGCTGCACCCAGTTGGTCCGAGGATCCGCCGGCTGCTGGTTGCATGTAGATGTGATTGTGTATCGTCTTGGGTAAGCGTACTGGTAAGCGTGCCTCGTGCTGAATTTGCAGAGTTGCTTGCTCACATACTACGTCGTGCCACGTGGCATTCGAGCCTTTTGGTTCCAAGAAGTGGGGCCATGCGCGAGCACCGCCGAATGGCGGGAGATGTACACCATAGGTGTTATTGCCTGCATCGTGACTTTGATGCATGGCCATCAGCTTTTGCGTTACCTGCATCTGCTCTTGTGTTAACTGCTTCTCTGTGCAGTTTCGGGTCCAAGCAACAGGCACAACGGCACAGTTGCCGGGTGCTGCATGTCGAAAAGTAGACTTTCTGTGTGTTGCTCGGACCATCACAAGGCTGCCCCAGCACACTGAGCCATACAGCCAGCCGGGGCCACTGCAAGCTCAGCTAGGGCTTTATAAAAAACATCACAACACAACCCGTCTGCAGCGGCAGTGGAGCACACAGTGCAGCTTTAGTTTGTTTTTTCACTGTGCTTGGAATGTTGAGCTTTTGTTTGCAATCTCTTTATCTTGGCACAACGATCTGCAGCTATGGTCGGGTATTGTCGTGCTGAACATGACGATTCAGGTTGTTTGTTCGGGTGAGGTACAGCTGCCTCTCCCAGCAAAGGCAACGTCCAGATCCCAACCTAAGCCAGAAACCAGAAGTTGCTGTTGAGTATGTCTGAGTGGTGCAAGTATATCGTTGCCTAGGACTAGGGAAGATCCGACAAGATCCAGAAGAACGATGTACAAGTTTCGGTTTAAGGTGCAGATACCCCGGCTCTCCTGACATGTCCAAGGCGCTGGCAACACTGGCATGCTGCTCTGCAGTAACAGCGAGCGCAGCGAGCGCCGCTCGATGCTTCGAGGATGGCATCCCGCCTCAACGCTTTGCGAACGTGGTCGCCGCGTCTTGGCAAAGGCTGTAAATGTCCTTGGAGGTCGTCTTGCATGCGCACTGAGAAGCCTTCGGAATACTTATTGCTCCAGTTATCATGTGCTCTGAGAGCCTTAAACAGCAGTGAACATAGTTCCAATCAGAATATCGAGCATGTCTGGAAGCTATGTCGAGATCTGGTTTATGCGCTGTGCAGCGATAATGCCGGAGCTTTCTGCTTCAAATCATTTCAAGGATGGTGACGTTTTCCCCCTGGGCATGGCTGTGGGCGACTGGCCACGGAGCCTAGCTTTCTATTCTTTCGCATGCCGCTGATCCCTGATTTTCTTTGACCTTTGTCGGGATTTGACGTGATGCATTGCATCCAGGGAAACTTTCCCGTCTTGCTCTGCCTGTGTTAGCCTGTGTCCCAAATTGAAAGAATTGACCTGGTTCGCCGTAATTCCCCTGTAGTCTCCCCTCCTTGGCTGGCTGCCTCTCGGGGTCGGGACGCAGATCTTGCCCTCTTTGACTCTTATTCGCTTTTCTCTCCTTCATGCTGTGTCTGCCTTTGTGATCCCTTCAGACTACTCTGCCCTGATGAGGCCCACTGTCTGCTCAGACTTGTGTCGCCAGTCTTCTTAAACAAATTCTTCGCTTCGCCTGCCTGCTGGCTTAATCATCTCCCCCCCNNCCCCCCCCCCCCCCCGCCCCCCCAATCTCCTCGCCTCCGTCCTGTGGGACATGGGACTGGCGTCGCTTTGCTTCTGTTGTCTGTCTCCTCCTTTGTCTTGTTCCACGCCTTGCTTTCGAGCTGCAAAGATGGACAAGCGTCAAGCTGCCTCCATGCCTCGTTGTTGTCGCCGTCGTCGTCGCCGTTTGATGCCGTTGTTGTCGCCGCGTTTTGGGTGCGGTTGCATCGCATCTCACTGCTACAAAGCAGGTATTATGAGCCTGCACATTTGCTTAGGCACTTTAGGCAGCAGAACAGTTGGCCGGTTCCGTGCCCCCCCTGATCCGCGCACACAGAACTTCAGGCCAGTTGCCCGTCTGTTGAGTGCGGTCCGGCAGTCAGCAGTTTCTTATCGGCTGCTCCGGACTTGGCCGGGACGAACTTTCAGGTGTCGGAGATTATCATTGAAGAGCTGCTCGGAGTCAACGTGAGTTCGACGATATCGGGAGGCTCGGCCTTGCCAGAAGCTGGGTCAGTCTCCAGAAATGCTATGGACTTGACAAAGTACGGACCCACTATGCCCCCGCGGACCGTCCACCGTGAGCTGAAACATGGAGCGTGGCAGGAAACTCTGTGGATGGATTCTATGCAATTGCAGGGTGCACAAGGCCGAGTCAGGTTTCGGACCGAGGACGGCGGTGGGAGTTACCTGTGAGTGAAATCGCGAATCGCGAACCCACGGAGACGGAAACAGAAACACCAGGATGCGGGTCGAAGACCACGAGAATGCACATTTACCTCGAAGCCTGGGTCAGCCTTTACCGAGGCGAGCACGGACCTCAACTTGAGCTTGTTGCAGATGGCAGTCTTTGGCTTTCACATGCTTTCGTGACGGGCCACAACTCCTGAGGTATGATCAGATTCAACAGGACTCGAGCATGCAAATAGTCTGTGCCCATGCTTGCCAACGCCAACTGCATTTCATGAGGATTTCCCGGAAACTGCTCCAAAGAGTTTGGGCAGCACGGCTCTCAGTTGCCATGGCACTTCGGACCTCCGAGCCGGGTCTGTTTCGAGGCAGTGGCTACACAGGGACGCAGTCAATGTACCTGCCGAAGCGGATCTTGGACTTTGCAATCAATTCAGAAGGCACACGAGAAGAAACTTGCTCAAGACTGCTGCTTACGCAACTCTGTAGTTCAAGGTGCGTGACTTTGGCAGAGCTTCGTGAGCTGCCCTGGAAGGTGTACCCTTGGAGTTCTATCGAACTTACAACTCCTCATGGCTTCGACCTCAGAAACTTTCCAGTCCTGTAGCATCCTACGAACTGCTGCAGTTAGTGTTGGCCGAGGTACGAGCCATCAGAGTATTTTGACAAGCTCAGCGCAGTGAACCTGTCGTGGCTGAGACCATGTGGCTTGGACTGAAAGACACTATGTCACTATACTGAAACGAAGCGGCGTTTGGTGCCTCAGCTACATTTCCAAGCCCGGCAAAGCATCCGCACAAGCATTCCGCAGTGCGAGTTGCGTTCGAAAGACTCGAGAAAGCAGTCGGTTGTCATGATGTAACCACTATAATTAGTTGCTGTAGTTGTTGTTGGCTGCGGTTCTAGCTCGTGACTCGGGGTGGAACCCTTCCGACTCGTGTTTCGGGTTCGGCGATCTCGGGCGAAGAAGCCGCACATCCCAAATCCGTCGGGTGTTCGGGATGGTGACCAGAGACGGGAGAAAGAGCTGATGGCAAGCCCGTGACACCGAACCACTTTGACTGGGTTGGTCGTGGAGTCCAACCTCTTCGCGACCTATCAATGACCACGGTCGTGGCTAGCGCTATGACGGCTGACATTGAAGCCAAGAACCTTCTCAATTAGAAGGCTTCCAACTTGAATGTCAACCTTGAATCAGGCACATGACAAATACGTTGTGGAAAATCTGAGTTCTAGATGGTGGGTTCCCTATGATGATGCGCGTCATAATTGCCACGGTTGATTGGATTGCTCGGCACTTGTCATGAGACCGGTGAACAAGATGGCCCGACATCCACATTCCGTGCCTTTCTAGATTGTAAATCCGAATGTGCCCGTCCTTGCATGGCCCATGAGCACACGTGGAACACATTCTGAAAACTTTGAAGCTTTCCTCTGGACTCTGGATTGCTGCTTTAAATCTTTACCCTCACCAGACTTACAAATCGTCTGAGAGAAGAGCCGGCTTGAGCCTGTATACTTCTCAACGTGGAGTGCGCAAGCAACTGATGTGTGATAAACACGGCCCGCTTGCTGACTCGTGACTCGTTGTGAAGCATTTGTGCAGCGTGGAAGGACCTGCGGGAAATTTTGCTGAAGGGACCCGAGCATTGCCATGATCAACATTGCGTACACGCTGCATGGATCTCTCTGGGTCTCCCTCCTGTTGTTTACAAGCCTTCTTGTCCGCTTACGAAGCCGAACGACGCCACACCTATGCGGACGAAAACAAAGGTTTTTCGCAGTTGAAACCGCAACTAATTAATATCAAGCGCTTCCAGGTCGTGACAGTCGTGACCCTGCAAGCATGTACAAACATCATACGACACGTCATGAACATGCAGAGGATTGATGAAGACTGTAAAAACCCAAGGGACCAAGGTTGCAGCGAACTGCGCCGACAGTTGACATACTTGGAAGACCGTCTATGCAGAAAGAATTGCCTTGCATGGCAGCAAGAGCCTTGGGGAGGTGTTGTTTCCCAGATTCAACAGGTTGTGCGAGCATCCTTTGTCGTTTCCCAGTTTCGCCAGTCTGGTTCCATTCTGTCTTGGGTCTTGGGGCGATTGTCGAGACACGCGCTGCCTTCGGTACGCCTCCCGCTTTACAGCCGCTATCGGCATGCGTCAGGCATGCACGGCAGGCACCAGTTAGTTTTTGCACACTGCCAGTTTGCACTGGGTGGACGCCCCTGTAACATTTTCTGGGTCCTAGCCGAAGAACCAGCACATGCATGTTTAAACGAACTGCCCCGGTGCGCTATATCCTTATTATTATGAGGTCGCGAGACCCGCTTTGTGCAGAGCAACAACATGCAGACCTATGTGCAGGCCGTGGTGGTTTAGGCTCCATATGTATGTGTTGGCTTGGACGATGTACATATGTATGTCACTAGCACTTGTATTTGCACTACTCGAAGGGAAGTGTTCCTTCGGATGCATGGACACAGTGTTCATCACAGAGCTGGCTCGCGAAATGTTGAGTGCTTGTGCTTGCAGGTCACCCAGGATACCGAGGGAGTTGAGGCCCGTACCTATGTGTCACATCGTCACAGCGCTTTGGCTTTCGTCTCGCTATTAGCCCGGGGATGTGCTGTGGGCTCGACGTGTCGCCAGAATATTGGTGGTTCCCTGATGGCAAAATGCCAGGACAGATGCTCAGTATTCTCGATGTTGCGAGACATGCGGAATCCATAGTACACAGTGTGCGGCAAGGACGGCTTCTTTTGGCGAGCCCCAGCATGCCGGGACAATGTCACACGCTGCGTCCCGGTGTTGACAGGCCAGGAATGTGGACTTGCAGCAAGCAGCCCTTACACTCAGAAGCGAGTCGGCGTTGATCCCGACAACTAGGCACGGCAAGGCTTTCCGGCCTCTTCCGACGGGCGAAGCCTGTCGCGGCTTCGCAAATGGCTAAATGGTTTCATGTTGTTTGAGCATGTCCGAAACTTCTGGCAGAGGTGCATTGGGAATGCAAGGCAAAGGCTTTGAGTCCTTCAAAGATGAATGTAGCGTGCCGGAACATCGTCGACACCCACTCCAAAGCGGAGGAGCAGCCGTTCTCCGCCTGTCTGCCCCAAAGACAGATGGACACCCATCTACACTTGTGATGGGATCGCTCAGCTCTCCGAATTGCTGTCAGCTGCACTGGCTCCTCCACCAAACTCTGCGCTACCACCCCGAAAACAAATCCACCACAGCTTCGGGCGTGCGGGCTTGTACCAACCGCTTAAACAGCCTCGGCAATTCAATCTCCGACTCTGAGCCGGACTCGCTGTCTGGCCTCCTTGTGCGTGCATTTCGGCTGCATCAGAAGCGTGATTTGCAGTGGAATACAAGCAGAACATGCAGTTTCCCAAACGCTAAATGTTGAAACAAATTTGCTCTTGAAGTGCGGTTCGTAATTGCTCTGAGGAATTGCAAATGCAAGCAAGGCGCATTGTTGTCATTCTTGCAAACATGCACAACATATGACAACAGCTGCCAAGAAGTTCATGGCAGTTTCGGACGCACAAAACAGCACAAACAGGCGAACAACATGCAAATGCAAAGGTTCTTGAAGTTTCCCATTTTGTCGCCGTTGCTAGATAGCCTTTCTGGGGGCCCCGAGTTGCAGATTTTTCTTGCTTTTTTGCTGCATTCTGATTTGGGCAGCGCACAATCCATCCGCCCTTCAAGCACAAGTTGAGACGCTTTGTTTGATTCAGGCGGTTGTGCCTAGGTATTCCACACTAAACCTTCAGCTTTCCATTGCCATCTCGTGCCAGCACAGCCGGTTGCTTGGCAGATGTGAAAGCTCCGAAGGTGTCTGGCAGTGATCAGACAGCAAGGCTGGTCAATCAATTTTGCAAGGGCCTTCTGAGAGACCACGGCAGCCTTCAAGGAGAGCCGCCGAGCCGTTGCCTTTCTCCATCACTCGAGATGGCAAGTGAAGTCAGCGAGCGAGTATGTACCTTCTCACAGACAGCTGCGCGCCAGGCAGATGCCATACGAGCACTCTTTCGAAAAAACACACAGCCCGCTGCCGATTTGGTGCGGTGCTTTCGTGCGAACTGCTGGGCCTGTCATGACCCGTGCTTGCTCGGAAGGATCTGAAGATTCAAGTGGATATTGCCTCTCGATTCAGGGGTCTTCCTACTCCTAAACAAGCCCGCAACTTGAAGCCGAGCCTTTCTTCAGCCGGTCAAAACAGAAGTCAAACACCACCTTGCTAATTACAGTGAAGCACGTGTGTCAAAGAAAGCGCGTGCAGATAGACAGTCAGAAATCCTGCAGAACGATAAGGTGATCGCCCGGAAACGATAAGCCCACGTAAGGGTTGGGAAGGCGCTCTCATAGGTTTTGCCGCGTGCTCACATAGGGGATGATGCAAGTGAGAAGGCGGAGCGGGCGCTTTTCACCTCGACTCCTTTGCCAAGTGCAGAGCAGCCCTGCCTGTGTACACTGTCCTCAAACGGAGATGCTGGATCCTTTCATTGAAAATTGAATACGATCCCGGCGAGCTTTTTTGAGGTGATCTGGATGGCGAGGATGGTGAACTCGCAAAACCTCGCAAATAGATTTCGAAGGGGGCCTCTGCAACAGTCTGCAACACGGCAGAGACCTGGTCGACAAGCTGCCTGCCCAAGATGCCTTGCATCAGGTGGAACAGGATGGGAAGTCGAAGCCGTCATGCAGTGCCAGCCTCAGCAATCAATGCCTGCGGCGCATGACCGAGACGCTGCTACCACCTTGACCATCCTTGACCGCTTGGACAAAAGCCCCCTAGCCGTAGCCTGTCTAGGAAAGCCACGCTCTTCAACATGCCTTTGGCCCTGGGCGTGGCGACGCCCGAACGTTATTATAGAATTCCAACCGAGGCAGAGTGTACGGGCGTGTGAGCAAGCCTCGCTCAGTAGAGGGCTGATGGATTGTGCAGGTGAAGAGCCTCTTCGTGTGGTGGGCGCCAGACGACACCTTTGTGGACCTGAACCCCGTTGAGCTTCGCTTTCCTCGCTACGACAGGCCAGGAGCATCCAGTGTTGTGCGAGTCGTGGCCGTCATTGCGACACATCCGCGACGATCCGCACGGTTTTGTGTCTGGCATGTCTGTGTGCCTTCGCAGGGCAGCTTGGCTCAACGGCGATCTTCGCACCGCTCCAGAGCAGGTTGTCATCGTGTCTCGGGCTTGTCAAGGCTAACTCTTACAAACTGACAACAGTGAGAGATGTAGATGATTCGTCAAGTCACGGACACTGAGTAAAACATACCTCCTGTCTTCGATGGATGTTCTGTGGATCCCGCAGTCACTAGAAAGGCGAGATCGTCTCCAGTCCCCAGATCTGGATCACGAAGCCCAGACAAAGCAGTGCAAGCAGCTACCAAGTTATGAGTGCACAGTTTCACGCCATGTTCTGTTGTGGAGTTTGCAAAGCCAGTAGCAAGTGGGAAGAAGATCTGGGAAGAGTGAACGCACGGCGACTTTTTTGAGGAGAAGCTCGTGAGCCAGAACATCGGAGAACTTGCGCCAGCTGTCGAAGATCTTGTGCAGAAGATGAGGCCGCGCCTCATTGTCTTCAGCTATTGCGGTGTGCTGCGCCACAAGTCGTGCCTAGTCTCTGCTCGACCTGGTTTCTGCCTCCTGGGCTTCTCCTGTCCCGTAGACAACTGACTCAATCCGAGTTCATTCAGAGGTGGAGTCAGGATGATGTCGACATTATGCTGAGGGACATGAAAGCAAGTGGTGCGCTCGGAAAGTAAGGAATTGATTTAGACAGAACATGCATGTGGCTCTTCGGGCTTGCTATCGGTCGAGTGACTGGTTGGTACGTGGAAGTTGCGAACCATTGTAGCCACTCAGCAGAACGGGCAGCATTACGATCCTTCTGATCTGTGGCCATGTTGGCTACAGCCGACAGTGCCCGCATTTCGTGTCCCTGCCAGCTGCTTAGCCTCGGCAGCAGCACCCAATTCGTAGCTCGCAAGCAGGCTCACTGGGAACACAACGTTTTCGTGTTGTGGATGCCCGGCTTTGAACGGATCCTTGTGGACGGAGACAAAGGCCCATGCCAGGTTGGTGGTGGGTAGCCCGAGAGATCGTCTCCGCAGCTGCAGCTCTTTACAGACCTGGTTGGTCGATCGGATTCTTGATCATGACGCGTGTGGCTGGCTCGGTCAATGAGTTGACCATGACCGTCCAGCCCGGGCAGTAATGCTACTTGGTTCGACGGCATCAAGGTGGTAATCATCTTCGCCATGTCCCTAAGACCGAAAGTCCTCTGAGTCCTCTGCTGCATTTACCACAGTACACGTGGCCGATGAGCCTCTCATGTGTGCGATGATGAATGGGCATGCATGTGGACCTGAGGGTCATTGATGATGCAATGATAGCCATTGCTGGGGACCTCTCAGTTCAACAACAGTTTGAGATGATGTTCTTATGGGATGCACCAGCCAAAGCTGGTCCCGTCTCACCGCGGTGTGTCTGTGTTCATCGGGTGGTTTGTGCTGTTGTGCAGCCCGTTCTTGTTGCAGCAATTGTGGTTCATTTGGTTCGAGTGTATCATCAGGGTGCATCGATTTCCACTAACGCGACGCAAACAGCCACATCGATCTGAAGTGCGGTTGAACGTGGGTGTCTCAACTTGGCTTCGGATACGTCTCGAACTCAGTAGAGCGATATGCACGGTCTAGGTCTGCCAGTGGCACAGGAAACCGGCCCGGCGAGCACCGGGGGCCCGATTGCCGCTGATGGGTGTACGAGCGCTGTGCGAGCGCATGAAATCGGGATCAAGCAAGCGTTTGAAATCATTGAAGCAGAGTCCGCGTTGGCGGTTGGTGTATGCCTCGCCGACGTCACTGGTTTCAGCTCCCATTTTTGTCGTCAAGCGAGTGAGGCATGCCAAGGTTAACATCCATTGAAACTCGTCGCCCCGCACTGACTCTGATGCAGATCGAGTGATTCGATTGCACTATTCATCTCGGGTGGCGCAAGGCTGGCCATCCCTACAATGGAACTACCAGCATCAGGGGGGCTTCCCATGTGCGTGCCTTTTTTGGAGTAGGCTCCCAGGAAATCCAATTTGCACTGTACATTAGCCAGATCACGGATGATCTCGGTCTGACGCCGCTAACGCGGGTCGCAGTCCTGTGCTACTAGGAGCAAGATAGCCGTGCCGTCGATTTGTAGATGGATAGATGGAGGCGCAGTCCAGTCTACAAACGCCGCGTGAATTCTTCGAGCGCGAAGTGGCCTCCATGTTTCAGCGCTTGCAGCGTTCTCAAAGTGGAGCGGATGATCGGATGACCGCGACGGCTGTCAAGTGAAGAGGTCGGTTGTGGATTGTTCGGCCATTTCGAGCCCGGGGGCTATCTGCCTCGCGCTTGGCTTCGTGAGCCCGTTTGCAGCACATTGGTAAGGTTGATTCAGCGCAGCATCTTGAGCATCGTGCAAGCAAGCTTGGAGGTTGAGAAAATCGTGCTCATGTGGCTCCTTTATGCTCCTTTTTGCGACAAGGGTCAGTCGCCCAGTCGGTCGTCGGCAAGATCATGCTGTTCGATGACTGTGGCATGTATGGAAGATGCTCATGAAGCAGCGACGGCCAATGGGCCGTAGCCTTTCGAGAATAGGAGAGGGTGGTGAGCGTTTGATCGCGACCCACCATTTGGAGATCGCTCCATAAAGGAAGATCCAGCATCGACAGTGCAACATCGAACGGCGTGAGCCTGACTCACACGAACATGACAACCATTGTCTCCTCGATCCTCCAGCATGTAGAATGCCTGTTGGCCAGGGTGGGAAGTTGCAAGGGGAACTAATGTTTGGTGCCTCGCAACTTCTGCGAATATGGCGGGCCTTTTTTCGAGTTCTGTCGCAACGGCAGTGCTGTAATAAGAAAGTATGCTCCACTAGTTCTGGACCGCTCGCTGGTCAGGACGGGTTTCTTCCGGGCGATCCTGCAGGAGTGTCCTAGAACCACAAAGGCCTTCGTTGCCGAATGGCTCGAAGCCTGCCCTGGGCCAACTGGTGCGTTCGAGTTAAGCTCCTCAGCTCTGGGGCGTCCAGCTCTACAAGCGCACTTTCCCAAGCGTAGCGGACCAAAGACCCGGCGGTGGTGACGTCCTGGTCCTACAATAGCATGCTTCATTTAACGGCCTTCACCATCAGGGGATCGCCGTTGGCATAATTTGATCTCGGGTGGACTCCCGATGTTATATACACATACATGCGACGTTGCCGTCTGTGTTGTCTGAGTGGATCCACAACGATGCCACTGCATGGCCCTAACGCCAGGATAAGGAGAAGTGATTCGGTCGGTGTGGATCGGAGGAGTGCTCGCTAGCTGTTGTCTACCATTTGCTCAACAGCAGTGGGGCATACTGCGAGTCCGAAGATTGGATTGGCGACCATTCAGATTGAACAGTTGAAGCAGTGCGTTGTTGTAGGACAGCATCCCTTCAAGCTAGTTGGCAGCGAGGAGCCAGTAGGTTTGGGCGGACGCTAAGGCGAAGATCCAGCTCACACAGTCGCTTGCCGATGGTTGCTGGCGAATTCTGAGACGTGGTCTACTTGGCCGCCCGTCAGCAGTACATGACATCCCAGGCAGCTTGCGTGCTGAGAAAGGGTTGTGAAAGGGTTTTCATGGCTCGGCCGGACTCTTGCCCATCTCAGGCTTGCAGGAGAGACTGCCTGCTTCGAAGGTTTTGGCTTATTCGACGGGAGCAGCTTTGCCACTTGGCAGCTGTGAGCTGCAAAGCGACTGCTTCAAGGAGATGGTCGTTTGACATGTTTTCAAAACTGGGCTGCAGGTAGCCGATCGAGATGGTGCCACTGAGCTCGCATGCAGGCCACATGTAGCAGATGTAGCATGTCCAGATCTTGCACAGGACAGGGTGCAAGAAGAGCAATGAAAATCGCGTGTGTGTGTGTGTCTCTGTGTGTGTGTGTGCGCGCTTCTTTTCTGCCGACGTCGGTAGCATGCATGTCAGGCCGTGTGAGAGCGGGAGCTACTCAGAAGAACTTCGGGATACAAAGGGTTGGAGCCTCAGCGCTGATCGATACTATCATTTCTCGGACGGTCCTCTGTTCCTTCAACTGCAGGCAAGACGCACATATGCCAGAAGTGTCCTGTTGGTAGCTGCCAACCATCAGGACTTGCTACGGGGCCAAGCGCTTTTGCTATGAAAGCTGCTATTATTCTCTGGTTGAAAATCCGAGATGTGTCCATGCAGCACTGCCCTTGTCGCCGCATGCAGGCGGCTGTCCCAACCATGCCAGCATGTTAGTCGCTCGGTGGGAAGACAGGCGGCCAATCAGGTAGCAGGCTGACCCGAGAACCCCAATGCGAGCTTGGTTGGTCTGTTTGGTCGGGACACGGTTGCTCATATGTCAAGACCCATGCCCCCCTTTCAGGACAGCTCTCTCCTGACATACCTGCTTTGCATACTCCTGCTCCCGAAGACAGCGGTCCTTGTTGGGAGACTGCAAGTCGCCTGCATATTGGGGTTACACGCGAGACACGCTCGCTGGTCAAATCTCTTGCAAGCAAGTCCATAGCACAGCAGAGATGCCAAATCTCGGCCAGTGGCGGATGAGGCAAATGCAGCAAAGGGCTTTGAAGTTGGAGAAACTTGTGGAAGCCTTAGCTAGTTCAAAACTGTTTCAGCCAGCGACAAAGCATTTCATGAGTTGACTCACCGTCCTAGTGATGTTGGTTATCTGGTTTCTAAGGGGAGCAAACCGCCCTTTCGGAACCCAGATTTGATAAACCCGTCTTCACAGATCCTAGCCGCATACTCGTCAACACAGCCTCGTAGCGGGAGCCTGGCGGTGAACTCCATACCGCTGGAAGTCGACGTCCAAGCATCGTGAGCGAAGAAAGTGTTAGGATCGTCGCACCAGCCATTTTTGTGCAGCGCACAAACCCGTCACTCACTCGCACTCACACTCACACTCACACTCGCCGCAGCAGCCCGCTAGCGTACATTCTTGCAGGAGCTGCTGCAGGGTGCGACCTGTGCAACGAAGGGGAGTATCAAGATGAGGACAGCGAAATCACTCAGCTACCAGTGTCTGTGGCATATTGGCGTTTTCAACTCTACATATAGTGTCGAGCCGCGTGCGAGCGACCTCAACGACGGAAGGAAGGCGCGCTGGACTGCAAGCGCTGCCCACTTGGACGCTTCCAAGATGAGAAGGTGCCGTTCCAGATTGGCAGTTGGCAGCTTGCCAGTTGCTGTAGCCATTGCATGCGTTGCGGGCGCGTTCCTGGACATGCTGATGATGTGTCATTGATTGACTCCTGAGTGGGAACTTCATCCTGACTGGTTGTCAGGGCAAGTCTGGTTGCAAACTCTGCAGCAACGGCACGACTACGCTGGGACTGGGTTCTTTGTCAGAGCAGGCCACCGGGATAGTTTAACCTGTGCAGTCGCATTCAGAGGCCCGCCAGGCCAAACGCAAGTTCTGAGTTCTTCGTGGCATCAACGTTGTTCATCGCCTTAAATTCCTGCATTGGTTTGCAGCTGCCATGAAATTGCGAGATCTGTAGAGAGTTTTCCTGTGAGTTCAGACAGTCAGATCACCGAAGGACTGTGGCTGTCTCCCTGAGACAATCAGAGAGGTGTACAACGTTTCCTGCCAGCCTTGCCCAGAAGGCCTTTAGTTACTGTGGTGCTGTTTTGTCTGTCCATCAAGTCCGTATTGACCGACAGTGCGTGGGCGCTAGCGCTAAACTGGCTCACACGGTGCGCAGGTTTGAGCTGTCCAGTTCTGTCAACTCTGTCGAGCATCTGGACTGCAAGCGACCAGCATGGCAACAGTAAAACTGCGATGAGAGTCGCAGTACCTCTGATGGCAGCTAGTTCCAGCGAGAATCGTAGTAATAGGAATCTCTCTAGTAGCAAGAAAACCAATACAAGGAGCACTGAACATGATTCTGATGAGGGCTACAATTCATCTCAAACGTTGAGGTTTGTTGAATGGCTCCGCCATTGCCCATGAGCTCTCTCCGCGAATTCGTGCAGGCTGGGTCTTCTGGGGCTGCACCGCTGCTCAGTCGCATGCGACTGCTTCAGGCTACTTCAGCACTGCGGAGGAACCTCTTGAGCTCTTCAAGTGCATCCCATCAACGCACTGCCCCGGGGGGCCTCCAAACACATGCCTGGGAGGCAGGGACAACAGCTTGAATATGATGTCGAGTAGGGATCGGCTGTACCGCTGGTTTAGGTCTGTCAGCTTTGCCCTGCGCTGCGCGCCTTGACTTGACATGGAGATTCACACGACGGGCTTTCGAGCATTGCTGTCATAGAACTCAGGTGTGGGGAGAGAGAGTACTTCGACGGACAGGCATAGCTTGGTCGCGGCATCTTTCTGCGTTACCCAGATGGATATTGGTTCGGTTGTTCAGGTCAGGAGCAGTGCCATGAGTGTGAGCCTGTGATTTCAGTGTATAATACTGTATTAGTTGTACGTGTTCTGCGACGTTCCCTTGTCAAAGGGAAGTAAGTCCTGCAGCTCGTGCAGTCAGGCATGCATAAGGAAACACGACCAGTTTTCATACACCCCTATTCTGAACACCAGTGGGGCGGAATGCGAAGCGAGGACAGCCGAATTTTGGCGCAGATTCTCGCGATGTCACCTACCCATAACCCTCCGACTGAAATGACGCCCCTGCAAGCCCAACAGTGTCTCTGCCAGGCGGGGGTTCTTGGAGCCCAGGTCAGGTGAGTTGAGTTGCTATCCTTGACATATAGTCAAGATATTCTTTCGTCGTCGCAACAACATGGGCTTTTTCGACCACGCGACTCAGTGCTACAGTCATAGATTCACGGCAACATTCCGGCGAACAGGCCTGGAGTTAGGGTGACCGGGTTTCCGCGGGCAGCATGTTGTCAGGTTGAAGAACACCTGCTTTGAACATGTAGGGCGACGAAGAGACATGAAGCAGGGAGGAGTGTAGACCTATTCAGGAACTGCCGCCGCAATTCAGGCACAGAGTTCAGTAACTCCCGGCCGCAAATCGGGACCGGGGCTGGGCCACTAACAAGTCAGAATTCGGGAACCGCGGGGCACAAATCGAGAACAAGGGAGTCACAATTGAGGGCCTGTGGCTGTCGGCCTCAGCTTCCTCCGTCTCCCCACAGACCCGGCCCCTATTGAAACTGGATTTAGGGTTTCCGCCTTAAGGATTCGGCCTGAGGGCTTCGGCTTTAGAGTTTCCGCCTTCGGGTTTCGGCCTTAGGTTTTGGGCATTAGAATCATTAGAGTTTCTACATGGTTGAAGCGGCAGTGCTCCGCCAGCGACGATAGGACCGGCCATCTGCAAGTCTAACTGGATGTCGCTCAATTTAGGGCGCCTATTGTGTGAGTTCGTTTTGCTCGGAGTCGGAGGGAGGGCTGCGACACAGCCCTAGATATCTGTCTTGATGCAGCGCGGCTGCACTAAAGTCAGATCCAGTGGTGCCGGAGTCTTATACCTGTCTTGACGCAGCATGGCCGAAATGCACGAGTCAGATCCATGTGTGCCGGAATTTTATACCTGTTTTGATGCAGCGTGGCCGAAATGCACCGAGTCAGATCCACTTGTGCCGGAATTTTGGCGCCAGGGTTCCCGAATTGGTGCTTCGCGGGTCTGGAATTCGGACAAGCAGTCCGCGACGCGGGTTCCGGAATCCCACCATGGGTCCTAAATTGGCCATGTGGTTCCTGAATTTAGTTCCCGAATTGGTCGTTATCCGAAGCAAGTAGGCTCAGTATCCAGTATCCATGCGGCTCTTCATTCCGAGTCCTCAGCGGGTCAATCGTTCAAAGTCTGCCTGTGAGAGGCGTGCGTGGTCTGCATTTCTTCTCGGCAGGTGCGTGGAAGCGCATGCAGGTTGTAATCAGTCTTGTTGCCGGTAAGATAGCAAGGTCGAGCCAACATCAGTCATGCTGAAAACTCCCTCTGCATTGTATGCATCGGTGGTGCAATCCGGGAATATCACCAACTTGCAGGAACTCTTTGTCGTGGGCTGTGTGGCGGGCCTCGCCGGGTTGGGCCGGCACAGTTTGAGAGAAGTGAAGTGAGCTATGTGAGCTTTTGCGCGAAGCATGTTGGTTTGCCGTGACAATCATCCATGCAATGCACGCTCTTGCACTCTGCGCAGGCTGGTTCTGGCATACTACGTTTTCAACTCGCCCATGACAGCAAAAGCGTTCCGGATCCCAGCCGTGGTTTCTTGTGTCGTGAGTCTTTTGTTTTGCGACACAAGCTGTTGGACTGTCGACATTGCACTTGCTGACCAGCTTGGGGGTGAGTGCGACTCGGATAAGTTGCCTACGTGGCATGCTTCAGAAACCTGCTAGGACGCCGGAAGTGCGTCTGATCGCCCGCGTAACCTTTCGCTCCCGATATATTCCGTACTTTGATTTCGAGTCCACTTGGCTTGAGAATGAAAGGAGCACGTCTCCAAGCACGTTTGGCAGTGACTGAATCGTTGGCGAGACCCGCAACTAGCGCTAGGGTCTTCGAGTGTGCAAGTGGGCGTGCCGTGCTCAGGTCCACGATGCTTACTACAACCACAGCTTTGGGTATGATGGTGATGATGCTCCAGAAAGTCGGTCCAAGACTCGGAGACCAGAGAGAAGATACAGAAATCCTCGTTTGTGGGAGATCAACTCTTACTGTCTTTGCCCTTACTGTCAGGTCTCTTGCGTAGGTGCAGACGTAGCCGCGCCAGTTTGAGCTGCGCAGGGGTGTGTGTGTGTGTGTGTGTGTGTGGGGAACCCAAACTACAACGGGACTTGAGCTTGAAGTCGTGAGCATGTTGCC